GCTCCGTCGGCTGAATGAGATCAGCTGGTTTATGTGAATCCGTCCATGCAGCGCTTGGAGGAGGAGCCTCAGATGACCTTCTGAGGTTTGGACCTGCAGAACCATCAACCAGGAAGGAGACCAGGCCGGACTCTCCCAGGAGACCCAGCAGGCCCGGTTCTGTGTCTGTTAAACTGGACTCCTTCAACTCTTGACAGAACAGTGAAGCTCAGCTGCCTCTTTAACATCAGATTGATTTTTATTACATATCTACAAATCCAGGAAATATGACATCATCATCATTCAGTGATGGTGATTGGCTGAACTGGACTCAATTTTAAGATGCTGAGCTTCCCTGTGGAGCAGTTTACTGTAGGAACAGACAGACGACTTTAAACTGGGCCGATATTTAATGCTGATATTTAAGGTCGATATCAGCCAGTACGCGTTCAGTGATTCATTCGTGTGCTTTGAGTTCATTATTTGCCGGTTTCCATCTCCCACCCCTTTTGATTAAGTTTCGTTTATTAATAAAGTTTTATTTCTGTATATATGGACAGTTTTTTTTATCATTGAGTATTTTTATCACATGAAGGAGGGAGAAAAACCAACAATATCTGCTCCAGTAATCGGCCCAATAAAAACCCCACAGAACAGATCGGTGAAGTGATAAAACCAGCAGCATCAGTGAATCTATGGCCATCCGTCCCCAACTGGATCTGGTTCTGGTCAGAACCTGCACAGATACTCAGGGTTAAAATAATCCAAAATAATCTCTCTAGATTATCTCTCAAAGAATTGAGAGTTTACTGAGAAAAGATCATTTCAGCAATCCAAGTTCTGGACATGAGGAAGAAAGAAAGAAGGAAAGTATATTTCAGTGGCAATAAGGTAAAATTATTAAACATGAAAGGAAAATAAAACTATTGATAAGATGAAAGGAATCATTCGATGCTGAGCTTTTTCTAATAACCAGGAGTGATGCTAAGCTAAATCTGCTAATCCCAGTAAAGACGAGGCCTCTTCCTGGAGACCGACTTATACAGAAGCTTTAAGGCCGATAAGTGCTGCCGACTGATGAAGCTGATGTTTCTTCATCTTCCTCCAAAGATTAAAATGGTGCCTGCAGCGTTACACCAGCCTCCCTTTAAACAACAATCAACCTTTATTAACAGATGAGAGCAAACGCTGACAGCAGATGGAGGAGCAGCGATGGAGGAGCCTCATCTGATCCCAGATCATCCTGAGTGGACTGATGGATCAGCTGGATGATGCTGGTCCAGAACCAGGACCAGACCAGAAACCTGAAACCAGAACGCCCAGCACCAGCAGAGCCCCACAGGAACTAAGAGCCCGCAGCATGACTGCAGAAAGGACGGGTCCAAAGATGACCCATCCTTCAGGCTGAGAACTGATGGTTCTGGTCCGAAAGCAAACATCAGAAGATAAAAGCAGAACCCAGAGCAAACAGGAAGCCCAGGATGAACCTCCAGGACCTTCCGGGTTCTGGTTCAGGAGGAGAAGCCCAACCGGACCAGAACAGAGTCCAGGCTTCATCCCCTGATGGAAAGAAACAGCTAGAAGCTAAACATGGAGACGTTCAGCAGGAGCAGAGCGTCCCTGAGGCAGAACCCGGCCCGGTCCGACAGGAAACACGGGACGGGCCGAGACGTGAGTCCAGACGCCCCACAGGCCCGGCAGACTGACAACAGCAGCAGGAGGAACTCTGGGTCCAAAAGCATCTGAGCCGCTCAGGGTTCCATCAGCAACACAACCGGAACCGGAACCAGAACCAGAACCGGAACCAGAACCAGAACCGGAACCAGAACCGCTGCTCTGACTCTGCTTCACAGGGCGGCGGTTCTGAGGAACATCAGAGGAACCTGCTGGGAGGTCCATCCTCTGCTGAGGCTCATGGAGAGGCCTCGACCCGCCCAGAACCTGCAGAATCTTCTCCTGACAAGTCTGCATGTTCATTGGGTCAAAGGTCAAACCTGAGAAACATGGCCGCCACTGCCACCCAGCAGGGGAGCCAGAACCAGCAGCTCCTCACCAGAACATCAGCCATGCTGACGACTAATCACAGCGTCACCATGGAAACCCAGATACATTCCTTAGCTGGTCTACTGGTTCCACCATTGCAGAGGTCAAAGGTCAGGGCCGGCTCTGATTGGACGGGCTGCAAACCACGAATCAGAGAGCAGAACCTGGAGGATGAAGGAGAGACATTCCAGAGAAATCTGAGCTCGACAACGAAGACCCGGAAAATCCAGTCTGACGGCAAACGGAGCTCTGATTGACAGACGGAGGAGGAGCCGACCCACACCCAGCCGCTTCCGGAACCATCAGAACCCGCTGCTGCATCAGAACCCGCTGCTGCATCCAGAACCCGCCGCTGCATCAGAACCCGCCGCTGCATCAGAACCCGCCACTGCATCAGAACCCGCCACTGCATCAGAACTTGCTGCTGCATCCAGAACCCGCCGCTGCATCAGAACCCGCCGCTGCATCAGAACCCGCTGCATCAGAACCCGCTGCTGCATCCAGAACCCGCCACTGCATCAGAACCCGCCGCTGCATCCAGAACCCGCTGCATCAGAACCTGCTGCTGCATCAGAACCTGCTGCTGCATCTAGAACCCGCTGCTGCATCAGAACCCGCCACTGCATCAGAACCCGCCGCTGCATCCAGAACCTTCTCTCAGCTACTCTGTCAGCAGAGTTGTGAGCAGACCTCAGGGAGCCTCAGCTGATCCATGCCTGCAGCTTCTGCTTCACACAGAACCAACAAGCTCTACATTCTAGCAGTTCTACAGAGCGGCCCAAAGACTGCAGATAAAAGCAGAGATAAACAGTCTGGAAACGGGTCACTCTGTTCCTCCCAGAGGAGCAGAAAGTTCTGGATTATTAATCAGAAGTTCTTAGAAAAGGATCGTTTTTGAAAAAGGTCAAATCTGCTCATTTTAAAAAGGTTGTTAAGAAGATAATTAATATGCCTGGAAAAGGAGGCAGAGCCAAAACATGATGGCGTCTCCATGGTTACAACCTCCAGTCATCACACAGCAGAACCGGACCCGACTGTCTGCTGTAATCAGATGGTTCTGGTTCTGGTCCCTAATAGCAGATCCGCTCTGAGGCGGGTCGCTAAGACAGCGACCTTCTGGAACAAAGGTCCTCTAGCTCTAAGCTGTCCCACGGAGGGACGGGATCCACAGAACGTCTGCTTCTGTCCCAGTGTGAGAGCGGAGGCTAAATCTGATCCTAACCAACACACCCTGCTGATCCCACTGAACAAAGCACGGTGGTGGCAGCATCATGCTGGGGAAGCCTAGAAGGGGTTGGTAGAAGACGGAGGATCCTGAAGTGGAGGTTCAGGTTCACCCATAGACACCATGGATGGTTTGGATCAGAACAGAACCAGAACTCGAAAAAGAATCTGACCTGCTGACCTTCTGCCTGACGCTCCCTGACCTCCGCTGTCACCATGGCAACCTGTCTGACGTCTGATTGTTAATCAGCTCAGCAGCTTCAACAGGCAGACGTGCAAAAATTCATCCATAACTGATGCTATCGCACAACAACTGAAGGATGGAAACAAAGGCTGTAAAGTTGTTTCTCTGAACAGTAGCTTAGTGTCTCCCCTCCATGTTGGCGCCGGAATCACATCAGCTGATCGGAGCGCCGATAAGATGGCTTCTGGGTAAAAAGCTATTTTAATTCAACAGGCCCAATGCCTCCTTAAAACAACAGCCCACTTCCACCTTAAAAGAAAGTCCACTTCCACCTCAAAAAACAAACGGTCCACTTCCACCTTAATAAACAACAGTCCACTTCCACCTTAATAAACAAACAGTCCACTTCCACCTTAACAAACAACAGTCCACTTCCACCTTAACAAACAACAGTCCACTTCCACCTACTTCCACCTTAATAAACAACAGTCCACTTCCACCTTAATAAACAACAGTCCACTTCCACCTTAAAAAACAAACAGTCCACTTCCACCTTAATAAACAACAGCCCACTTCCACCTTAAAAAACAAGTCCACTTCCACCTTAAAAAACAAACAGTCCACTTCCACCTTAATAAACAACAGCCGACTTCCACCTTAAAAAACAAACAGTCCACTTCCACCTTAATAAACAACAGCCCATTTCCACCTTAAAAAAACAACAGTCCATTTCCACCTCTGATTTCTGAGATTCTCTTCTTGTCCCAATAAACTCTGAGGACAGTTTTCTTCTTGACTCTCAGTCATTTTCAGAGACGGCTGAAGCTAATGCTAAAGCTAAAGCTAACAGGACATGTCAACGGTACAACAGCTGGAAGAAACGAGACGCTGCAGAGCAGAAGATAAGAGGAACTTCAACCATCCTCATAAATACACCGACCTGATAATACCACCTTAAATAGACCGACCAGACGATAACACCTTAAATATACCAACCCAATAATACCACCTTAAATAGACCAACCCAACCCAGGACTGGAGATGAAGCATCAGCTGCATGAAGCATCCATCTACAGGTGGAACTCAGCCTCTGCTTCATCCAGCAGCGTGCTGCGTTCAGGTGCTGTGTTCAGGGTGCTGCATTCAGGGACAGAACCAGCGGTGCTGGGCCTCAGACAGAACCTCTTCCTGCAGCTCCCCTCCCAGCTCAAATTCTAACCAATCTGAGGACTGAGCCGCCATCAAACTGGAAACCAACTAAACCAGTACAGAACCTGCAGAGAGTGAGGGAAAGCTGAACTGGGTCATGCAGCCAACCAGCGGTTCTGGTCCAGTTGGGTCCATTCAGAGCCGAGGCTCAAAGCTGGGGAGGTTCTGGAAGCCCGATCTGCTGATTGGACCCAGAAGAACATCAGCCTCACTGGTTCTGACCTCTGAGGAGGTTCTGCTCGGCTCTCTGAGGTCCGGATCTGATGGACCTCCCCAGGTTCCCCCCCAGGTTCCTCCCAAGGTTCCTCCCCAGGTTCCCCCCCAGGTTCCCCCCAAGGTTCCCCCTGAGACTCCGGCTCACCTTGAAGTTGCTGGAGTTGACCCAGGAGGTGGCAATCCCGTCCACCATCCGGTCCAGCGCCGTCTGGTCCTGGTCCAGGTCCGGGGACTTGTCCTGGTCCAGAATGTAGTCGATGATGTCCTGACCCGTTTGCAGGCGCCGGCCCACATCCTTCTGCAGAACCTGGGCCAAGCAGCTCTCCATGCTGGGCTCCATCTCCTCAGAGGTCCTACGCCGGGACCACCGGGCTCAGCAGGTTCTGACCCGGAGGCTTAGTAGGTTCTGACCCGGAGGCTCAGCAGGTTCTGACCCGGAGGAGGACGAGTCCTGGTGGCCCTCTGTGCTGCTGGCTGGGTCCGGCGGCGGTGCCGTGGGCAGAACCCCAGCTGGTTCTGGTGGGCGGCAAACGGGTCGGCTCAGGGCTCCAGGTCTTCCTCCTGAACCGGTCCAGAGACGTCCTGGAAGAGACCAACACACAGTCAGAGTCTGAATCCTGGATCAGAACCAGGAGACCCGGTGTGTCCAGTGGGACAGACGGGGTGAAGCAGAACCTTAAAGAACCTCCTCTGGCTGCTGGATGGAGACCATCTGGTCCCCCACAGACTGGGCTCATGGTTCTGATCCGATCCAAACCAACGCGGCCCTCCCTAGTTCTGATGGAGCAGCAAACATCTAACAGGTCAGGTGGTTCTAGAGCTCACTCCTCCTTAAAGGTCCAGTTCTCCACCTGAGCTGTAGAACCTCCAGAACCTGGTAGGTCCATTTCCTCTCCATGATCAGAACTCAGAAATCATCTAGAACCCAAACCTGCTTTAATCCAACCAGAACCTTCTCCCTGCTGGGTTCCTCCATGGTTCTGGACTTACTCTAAAGATTCTGGTTCCTGGTTAGGAGAACTCTGAGGTCCAATCAGAGGAACCAGAGACTGGGAGGACCCGGGTACTGGACCGGATCCACCGGAGACATCAGGACAGAGAGGGACCAGGTGGAGCAGACCCAGACCATGATACCACCTCCTAGCACCCAGAACACCTGAGACCCGACAGGTTCTGGGTTTGAGACCAAGATCCAAACGATTGGCTCCGTCTGATTGGACCAAAGCAGAGATCAGCTGCCAGAGTTCTACCAGAACCTCAGACGGAACCGATGGAGCTCCTCAGACGGTTCCATCTGGTCCAGTTGGACCTCCTCAGACGGTTCCATCT